GAGAAGTGTTACTCGTAGCCTTTCTTTTACCCTTTTTCGATGTCGATGGCGCCTTGCATTTTGATGCCATCGTATCCTACAATGAAGATGATAAAACATGTTAGTTACTCATTGTGAATCAATTAGAAACAAATACAGTAACTTTGCATGCCAAAATCAAGAAACATAGTGGGAGACGGAAGTGGGGACACATCAAAAGTCACGACAGGGGACATGGTTCCTTGCATTCCTCGACTTATGATTACATAAAAATGTCTTAACCTCAATATAATTGGTTAGGATAAGTTATGCTTTTAATGATAACTATGTCTAAAGATGCATCTATTCAAAAAATACACTTGAAAATTTATATGAAAAGACCCCTAATTTTAATTTTTCTACACCAAATTAATTCGAGAAAAAAATATTTATTATTCTCTTTTCTTTTCAAAATATTTTGTTCTTTTTATTTTAATGAAATAAAAATTCAGTCTAAATTATTTTTAGAAATAAAATTTCATTAGTGCAATACTAGTTTGTGTAAATTCCGATTGTAAAGAATACTGTTAACACTTTAGGTTAGCCGGTAAACTTAATAGTGTTACAAACTTCGAAAAAAGCATTGTATCTTAGGAGACAGTTGTTCATCTAATCATGTTAGCATAAGGCAGAGAACAATATCCAAAAGATTTGCAATCTCATATTTCGTTTCATTTTTTTTTCTATGTTTCAGTAAGTTACAATTGTAAGTGTTATGCCCTAGGTCCAATCAACTTTGGACATAAACACTTTGAATATATATAATCAATGCATATATATGGCAATATCTATTATTTAATTGAATTAATATTCTAATAAATTAAATAATAGAATCCGTAGATTCAAGTCTTGGTGATTTGTTAATCACAAGGAGTTGTGATTGTGAGATACAAATTACATATGACTGAATCTTAAATCGTCCGTGGTCGAAGTAATAACGAGATACGGATATCGTTATTACGGATAGACTATCGCGTGTGGCATTCTTACTTGTGAAGTAAGTAGCTGATCTCACAAGCTAAAGTGTGGTGACACTTGAATGAACACGTGGATGTTTTGTTATAGAACAAAACATTGGAGACCCGCTGAGAGATTCCACATGGATAACTATCTAAGTGTTAGTGGTTAATCTCTAACGTTCGGTAGTGGAATTGGTCCTTTGACTTGAGGTCATCATAGTACCTTATATGAGGGCAGTCATACTTTGGTGATGTTGGATGTTGCTCTGTCAAGGGTCGCTAATACAGCATCGTTCGGGTATGTCAAGAATCATATGAAGGTTGTGAATGATCAATAGAGGATTCGTCACTCTTAGATAGTAAGAGATTATGATCTACATTTTATCCAGTTAAGTTAATAATGAAATCCTTGGCCAAGGTGAACTCATAAGTCGGAAAAGAGTTTTCGACGTACATTGACTTAACAGTAGGATAAAAGATATGATCGATAATTGAGATTGACACATATCCATATCTCATAATTGATCGGATCATATTGACGAAAGGATTATAGTTTCACGGTAAACGAACAAGTTTGGTTTTGTCATGCTACGTGATATTTCCCGTCACATGTATTGCCCTGATACATTGCTAGATGTCAATCTGGGACAACGAAAATGAATTAGTGATAAATTAAAAGGGGCGTTTTAATTTATCGATTTTGATTAGATCAAAATAATAATTCACGTCGTTCGGCATCGTGATCGGGAACCTAATGGGTCACACACAAAAGAGAATCAGAAGAATGAGATTTACCAATTAATTAATTGACAAGTGTTGGATAATTAATTAATTGAGTTGTTTATTAATAGGCCCGAATTAATTAATTAGATTAATTAATTCATGGACCAAATTTAATTAATTTGATTAATTAAATATTGGATTGGGTTAAGTTTAATAGATGGGCCGAGTCCATTTGGACTTATATTAATAAACTACTAGGGTTTGAAAATGTATGGATTTTATTATTCTTGCTAGTATAAGAAAAGAAACCATAGCCACCATTCTTGTTCTCTGTGTGGATTACCATTGGAGGCTGAACAATTGGATAGCTTGGAATGCAGATCGTGATCATTGGAGTTCGTGAATCAGCAAAGGGTTTTACAGAATTCATCAAAGGTATAATTCTAATCACAGTTTCTATCTAAACACATTGCAGATCTTCATTTGGGAATTGAAAATTGTTTTATTTCCGTTGTGCATGATTAAGTAAATTCCCAACAACAATTTGACCGTATTTTCATTCTTGTATCTTGATTTCGGTAAGTTGAAACTTTATATGGTATTTGGCACGTAAAGGGCTAATTATCGAATATAAATTATGCACCAATTCATTGATCCACCCTTATAGATATACTACACTACCATATGGCTTATGACTTGTCTAGTGTAACCTATAACCTTTGTTTGGGCTCCATTTTAATGAGATGTTGAGAAAAATATATTTTGTAATAGTAATTTTTTGAAAAATATATGATTAAAAAAGAAAGAAAATTTTTGAATATACGTGTAATATTATTTTATTAAAGAATGTTTGGGTAAAAAGAAGAAAAAGAAAAAAAAAATATTAAAATTAAAATGGAGTCCAAACAAGAACTAAATGTTCCACTAAATTATAAAGTTAAAAAAATGAAATATTGTTTATAGTGGTCAAACTTTCACGCTTTAATTTCAAGAGAGTGTTTTCCATTCAATGAGACATTTTAAGTTTTCCATTCCACACATATTAACACTTTCGAAATGGTACTTTGGTCATTTATGTTTGTGATTTTTTTCTACCTAGTGTACTTTTCTAGGCCAGAATAAAATCTCTTTCCCACTTAAAATTATATTAAATATTGCCATTAAATCATGCAAAAAGATTATTGTGCCTTTTATTAGAATGTTCTCTTGGGAAAGTTAATGAGATTCTCAATAATATAAGATTTTATTGGATAGGTTGATGAGAAAAACTAGAACATTTAAATAGACTGTAAGTCGTAGTCAATTCTTTCTTAGCCCCTATTTGTTTGGCATTAAATCTCAATTGTAGACAAATTCTGACTGTTAACAGCCTACCATTTTTGACCATTGTCTCACTGTGTGGAACCCATTATTTGAAAATAACGGTTGAATTTCTCATTTTGTCAGGAGAATAATGCACAACAAACATGCTCTTAATTCCTGAAATATTTTAGATAGTTCGAAATTCATGCAAGGAGGAGTCAATTTGGTAAAGAGTCTTAAAAAAAAATATATGTATATTTAGAAAAAAAAAAGAAAGAAAGAAATTAAGAAGTAGACATTATTCAGAAGTCGAAAAATAGTGGACACACTTCAATCTCTCTCTAATAGTGACCTCTCCATGTAATTTATTGTAAATAAACAGATGGGAAGGGGAGAGGGAGTTGCTTGTTTTGTGCCCTTTATATTTAAATTTTATTATTCATCGTAAATTTTTGAAAACTGCTAAAGCAAGTTGCTTAAGAACAGTAATTATCTGTAATAATCTATCAAGTTTATTCCATATACTTAATAGTCTGGTTTATATCCTGTAAAATTCTTGTTTTCTTATGAATTTCAGAACTCCAAGTCAGACATTTCTATATTTATATTTGACTCTAACATGCGTCGCATCTTTGTTCAAACTAGTTCAAACTCACGTATTTACCTGCACCTCTCTTTGTCTATCTGATGGAACTTCACTCTCTGATGCCACCGAATATCGACAGGTTCTTGGTAGCCTCCAATATTTGCTTCTCACCCGTCCTGACATTGCCTACTCGGTGCATCGACCAACTTCTCAGCACTAGATGGCTAACAAACGCCTCCTTAAATACTTGTATAGCATAGTTCAGCATACTGGTATTTCATATAATACTACATGCCTTCTATGTTTCCGATTGGGCAGGTAATGCAAATGATCGCAGATCCACCTACCTTGCACACAATCTGATAGTTTGGTTGTGGTCTGTTGCTCACTCCGTTCATCATGAACATCACCCATGTGGACAACAACGATTTTAATGGTGGAGGAAGAGAGATGGCTCTTTTCTTTTCTTCGCACTCAATATGTTCCAAATCCACACAATTGTAGAAAAATGCAGTTCAAAAAGATTATTGAATACTAGTGGCCTATGTTCAGTAGGGTAAAAAAATGTAATTTGCGCCAGAAGAATCATACATCAATAAGGTAGAAGGGAAGAAAAACAAACACATGAAAAATGCGGTGAGCGTGGATCGAACACGCGACCTTCAGATCTTCAGTCTGACGCTCTCCCAACTGAGCTATCCCCGCAACTGTGTAAAATGGTAGGAAAATGTTTATTATTTTATCCACTCGTTAGGTGACAAGCTAACATGAAATTAGCTTTAACTTTACAATTCTACCTTGTCTTTATATATACAAAAAATAAAAGAAAATAAATTTTGTCACCCATTTCACCCACACCTCAAGCAACTGCTACAATTACAACGGTCGGGGGTGGCTCCACAGATTTTTTTTATTGTAAGAATTTTTCCAGAATTTTTTGCACTAAAGTCTAATTGGAACAATATATTTACAGTTTCAAGCAACCAACTTTGAATCTTTTCGATTAAGCTTTAATATTGCATATTGATGATCACAATATAAAACATTTTTTAATGAGAACTCGAAAACTTTCAATAAAGAATTAAGCTACTTGTACATGAATGGTTTGATAGATGCTGAAGTGGCATGTACTTTAGCTCTTGATTTGATTTTATCAAAGAATCTATCAAAAAAAATTGTACAAGTAACATGCTTGTTCAATAAAATTTGTGAACATTCTAAGTTCATACTTCTATTCTATACTTTGCAATCATTCCAAAAGATGGAAAAATAGTTAAAGTTTTGACTTTTGATCGGAAAATGAGTCGGAAAAATATTTTGCCAATTTCTATTATCAAATTTGAAATAGATTCCTCCAAGAAAAACCTCGTAGAAATGAATAAAGATTACACGTGATTTCACGAAGAACTCCAATGTCAAAAAGCACCTTGGGGCGAGGTGAAGTGACGATGGGAATGAAATCCGGATCGTCTTTATTCTTGTCTAATGTTCTTATAAGGATCGGTAGTCCACGGATTAAAACGTATACGAAGAGGTCGAAATTCTCCTGCATATGTAGGAGAAAGGTGAGGTAATGTTTTTTCTCTACGCTTGTGGTTTGCTTTGATACTATCGAGGTTTTTTCCCCCATTTGGAGTGTATTTGATGCACATTTTTTTTGATGTGATGTGATAGAGAATATATGGTTAAAAAAGAAGGAAAAATTATTGATGTGATAAAAAATATAATTTTATTGAAAAATGTGTGGTTGAAAATGAGTAGAAGAATGACAATAGAAATGAGAACGTGGCTCAAACGGGGGCTTATCCTAATAAATAGAAACAAAATTGGATATGAGGTGGAACAGGAAGCAATGACACGGGGAGATGGCGCCAAGTGGGTTAAATATATAACTTTATTTATTTATTTTTCTTTAGTAATATCATATTGTGTATTTGGAAAAAAGAAATAAAAAAAAAACAATAGTTAAATAGTCTTACGGAGTAGTGACTTAGCCACTGGTAGAATGGATGGAAGATATATTAAAATGTAACAAGATAACACAACTACAAGAATCAGCTTTTAAAATTCAATAATTAATTAAAAATTAAGATATAATAATTATTAAAAAAAAACTGAAGTTGTTAAAAACTCAATTGAAAATACACTTGACGAATTGCGATTTTTTTACCTAGATTATCCTATTATTTAATGGGTTTGGGCACAAAGATCAAGCCAACATCATTCTGCACGATTTTAATTCACCTACGACCGCTATATTGATTGTTGATTAAGCAAACATAAAAAGTGGGGCCTACATATTATTCCCATATTCAGTGTTCTAAAAGGCCGCCTAGGCGCGAGGCGAGGCCAAAGATTGTTGTTTAAATTTGGCCTAAAACCAATAAACACTTGAGCCTCTAGGCGTCTTGCATCTCCCTCCTTCATTAAGCGTCAAAAAATATGAGAATCACAGAAAATAGGCAAAGCAAACTCAGACAAGTCTTCTGGGCTATCCAACTCTGCAGACACCGGCATCAAAAAACATCGGCAAAGCAAGCAATTACCATAAATTTGAAGAGCTTTATAGATCAATTGCCAATAAATTTAACTGGCACAGCCCAGAATCTAACAAGGGTTGGCTGAATGAGAGAGAGCAAAGATTTCCTGCATATAATGGTATAGACAGAAGTTACAGTGTTACCTTCGGTAAAATTGGACCGATTGATGAGGACGAGCCTTGTGACTTCCATGAGCATGTCATCATGAAGAGTGAGATCTTAATGCCAAGAAGCAGAAGCCATGCTGTCACAAGAGGAAACATGTATTATTAGACCAAAGGATACTCGTCTTCATTGATATTTTTTTCATCCTACCATTTTCCGCTTTCCCATGTAATTTGAACTGGAGAACTGATGAATACAACACAAACCAAACCATATTTCCTGCCCTGAACAACCAAAAATTCGACATTAATTAGAAATCAGAGGATCCCCAACGAAGTTATAGAGCACCACACATTTAAGAATAGTTTAGTCTCATATCCCACAAACTTCTTAGAAAGCATGGAAGCGTATGACACGAGTGTGTAGTAGTAAAGTAACATCAACCATACGGGTCGACAATTCTCTTCTCATTCACTCCTTCATACACAAGCCTATTTTGCGTTACATTATTCACTATTACACATTCATCACTGGAACATCACAACAACACAAGAAATGTCGTCTTGGCTCCCCCTTGATAATGACTCCTTTGCTCTGCCTCTTCAGCATCATTTATTTCACTGATACAATCAACTGCTTTAAATTATCTTTTCTAATTTCCTTTTCTAATCGTAATAGGTTTATTCTTAAATTTTATTTAGATTAGGATTAGTTTATTTCCTTTTAGAATTTAGTTTCCTTATTTTAATTTCCTTTTATTAATAGGATT